GAATCGAAAGCCGCTTTCAGATCGAGGAAGACGGATCGCGAGTCTACGAAAAGAATCCTGGATACCCTCGGGTTAAGCGGAGCTGAATGTTCTAGGCGCGTCCCCAGGTTGTGGATAGGGGGATACCTTCACCGAAGGTTAGTTTTGAATACCGCACACCGCAACAAATAAGCAGTCGCGAAAAACAGCGGCGGCACTACCAGGGTGTGATGAGTTTCAGGCTGGCCACCTGGCTCCCGTTCAAAAGCCGCATAAGTCCGATGACGGTGTCGTGACAAAGGTCGATGAGGATTGTCCTTTTAAAACTAGTCACTGATACCCTCACTTCCGAGGGGTTAGTTCCTGCTGCCTTGCAGTTCGCACTTGGTAGTGCCAAGGCTAAAGGTTCGCCCTCAAAATGAAACACTGAGTGACTCTGGGGACGTCTTTCGTACCAAACTCCCGAGTAATTTCATGATCATGTCTTCTACGGCGGTAATCAGAGATATTCATGCAGACGGTTTATCCCTTCCAAGGAGCCAGCCGTAGTAGAATAAAATAAGTACGATAAAAATGTCGGTGCTCCAGAGTGAAACTGTGGTTGATACAACCTCGCCCAGGTCTAAAACCAGTCTGACTCTCACGCGTGCACTCTTCACGTGCAGCAGACAATCGACGGAGTATGAACTCCGCAAGAAGTTTGGAATGTTAATTAGGCTAAATCCTTTGTAATTTCCAAAGAGGACCTATCACCTTTTTAGTAAATCGGTATGATCACCGATTTACACCATTCAATTGGAACCCGTTCCTACTCCCACAATGAACCCAGGAGCTTCGTAAACTCTGAAATCAAGGCAGAGCCTCACTCCTTAAAAAGCCGATGGGGACAGTCCACCTGGGCCAGAGGCCTTATTTCCCGGGAAACGACATTTCAGATGGAGGTCTGGAATCAACTGGAAGTATTTGCCCAGTTGATGTGGGAGGCGATAGGCCAGATATCTATGGGGACCAGTGGAACTGAGCCCCGAAATGTTCAAGACCGCGCTGCTGATGTTGAATCAGTGTGCAATCGTAATCCTTGATAACCTCACTTACACCTATTTTTCTGGGAACCGTACCCCAAATACACGGAAAAAATTGTTCATCGTATCAGCATATGCACCGACCAATTGCAGTTCTGATACCCAAAAGGACGCCTTCTACGACGAACTCACCGATCTCATTCGTATGAGTCGAAGCTCCGACATAGTTGTACTTGCAGGTAACTTCAACACGCATGTTGGAAAACTGGGAGCATCAGAAGCTTGTCTGGGCGGTAGTTGAGCTTTGCCCAACAGACGAACAGATAACGGCGATCGAATTCTTCAGTTCTGCGCAGACCATCATCTGTTCCCATCAAGCACCAACTTCGGACACAGTTCTCGACGGACGGCAACGTGGCGCTCCAGTTCAACTGGTACGTTACCTCAGATCGACCACATAGCAGTAGGCTACCGTTGGCGTGTCTCAGTACAAAACTGCAGGTCCTATTGGACTACCTGCGTTGAGTCTGATCACGCATTAGTTTCCTTGCAGTTCACTCTGACTGATTGGCCGGCGACTAATTCAGCAAGCTCGTACAGCTCATCATCGACTATCTGTTCCAGCAGTTCGTGTGCGCTAAGAAGCAGAGCTAGTGCGTGAGCCAAGCGCACCTCAACATGGTGATGTAGATGAGCAGTGGGATCAGATTAGGCGAGCAACGCATTCCGCAGCGAATGTTGCTTGTGGGTCTGAGCCTCAAACCCGTCAGAGACATTGGATATCTCAGGAGTCAGTNGTTTTGAAGGAGAAAAAACGACAAATCCCGACCTGCCAGGATCAAAATAGAGTTAGGTGGCATCTACAACGCCAGCTCACGAAGAGCCTAAAGAAGGACCGTGAGAACTGGTGAGCAACAATGGCTAGGGAAATGGAAGTAGCGGTTGCATCAGAGAATAGTCAAAGACTGTTCCGACTGATACGCAATGTGGGAGGTCGGCGAACTCCAATTAGTGAAACAGTCTGCGATAAGAGGGGACGAGCTATTCACAATGGGGATCAACGACTCGATCGCTGGGCAGAATACTTCAGCGAACAGTTCAGTTGGCCTAGTGCTAACCAGACTGCCTCATCTACAACTGAAGCTCCATGGGAAGTGTCATCCTCCAGCAGAATCAGAAGTTCGATCTTGCATCCAAGCACTGAAACGAGGAAAGGCAGCAGGACCGGATGAAATCCCTCCCACTCTCTCTAATATGAGGGGTGATAACCTACCACTACCCTACTGCGCAACATTTGGACGCAAGACCCCATTCTTTCATACTGGGGCGAGTCACTGATCGTCATCATTATCATCATCGTACAGCGAGATACAGTGAAGCGAGCTTCACTAATCGCTGCCAAGCTCACAATGTACACCAATCAAGTGATAAAGCACAAGATGGAGGGATTGGGCCTACTTGGAGGGAGGTAAAGAAAAATAACCTCTATGTTCAACACAGAGTACACAATCTAAGTGTTCATGCATACCTTTTTTCAAGCATTCCGTTTTGTTAAGAAATGACAACAAGAGCGCCACTGTTTTCGGTCAGTCGCCATATCCTTTGATGTCTCCAGCCAACGAGTTGTAGAGTCTTTCGGACCCCAACCTGGAAGACGGGAGACACCGATTTTACCTAATCACTCTGTGCATTTCTTCATGCCTCGCTTCCANGCCGTAACTGCGAATAAGGCGCGGTGCGGCAGACGATGGCTGGGCATGCGCAACACGTGTCCTAACCAGTGCAGCCGACTAATCTGAATTCGATGGAGCAATGACCTCTCCATCATTACCAAATACGCGACGCCTCACCTCAGAGTTGCTTACAAGCTCGC